GCGGGTGAGGGAGGCGGCAGGAGGCAGGACAGTGAGCCCTTTGAAAGTCCCCCTCGAGCCCACTGCAGCCTGTTAATATTAGCTCCCCCTCCACCCTGCGTCTGAGGCTCCGGCTGGCTCTCCGGAGGGAGCCCTGCTGTGCGGGTTCTTTTGAACGTTAGGAATAAACCCACAACCCACCCCGCCTCGGGGAGAGCATCTGGGCTGTTGGGCTCGGCCGCCCTTTTACCAGCCGCCCTGTTACGGGGCTGCCGGAGGAGGAGCAGGGAGAAGCAATGCTGGAAGTTGCCCGGAGGACCTGAAAGATTTAAGAAATGTAAACTGTCCTCCGAGACACAAACTTGCTTTTCCTATGTTTGATTTAAGCCCTCCAAACTGAAAAAAAAATCAACGCGGGTGAGGGAGGCGGCAGGAGGCAGGACGGTGAGCCCTTTGAAAGTCCCCCGAGAGCCCACTGCAGCCTGTTAATATTAGCTCCCCCTCCACCCTGCGTCTGAGGCTCCGGCTGGCTCTGGGGAGGGAGCCCTGCTGTGCGGGTTCTTTTGAACGTTAGGAATAAACCCACGGCTCTGGCTCTGCGTAGGCAGAAAAGCCTCTGCTTCCCTTTGTACGCACGTTCACAGGCAGCGGCCGCTGCGCAGGAAGGAAGGGCAGCTGAGGACTTAACAGGGCCGCTCCCTGGCAAGGAAGCCCTTGCTGAAGACGCGCGGGCCAGGTGAGCAGGAGACAGCGGGAGGCACTCAGAGCCAAGGGAAGGCTGTTCCTCTGGAGGCAGACCCTGCTGCTGTGCTGCCTGGTGCTCACCCCCTGCACCCACAGCACCAGGGAGAGCAGCGTGGGCCCCGGGCTCCAGGCAGGAGGGGCCAGCGGGAGGACACTCAGAGCAGAAGGAAGGACAGTGAGCCCCTCAGATGCACCGGTTCTCATAGGAATGCAGACCTGACCTTGAACATCTCACCCTAGCACTGGGATGGGGTGGGACGTGCTGAGCTCAGCCCTGCTGCTCCCCAAGCCCTCGGAACAGGCCTGCCTGTTGGCTCGCTCCCTCACCACCCCTCCCACCAGCCATGGAGGTCCCCCGAGGTGTCACTTCCTCCGAGAACGCTCCCCGAACCTGGCAGGCCCCGTGACCACCTCTACTGTAGCGCCGGTCACGCAGGGTTCCGACTGTCCCTGCAGCCGCCTGTCGTTTCCCACGGACGCCCGTCAGCTGGTGCGGATGCCACTCCCCTGACACGCGCCTGGTTCACAGGAACTCGGGAACTACTCCTTAAAGAGGTGCAGAGGCCAGCCCGGCACCTCGGGGCAGTCAGTCGCCCTCCGGCCTAGGGCTGCGTTTATGTCTGAAGTGAAAGCATTTTCCAGGGTAAAGATACACTGAACTGGCCAGTATCCCAAGGCCAATTCATTCAAGAAGGAAGATAATTTTTTCCTTTCTCAGCAAACATTTCCCAGAGAAAAGGGGATGAAGTGACGGTTGGAAGGAAACAGAACATCACCGCAGAGCCACGGGGATGCCCAGATCTGCCAAGTGCGTCCGCGCGTCCGCCCTCCAGGAAACAGCTGTAAGTATTCCCTCCGCTCAGCTGTGAGGACAAATGATCTGAAAACATCCTCTAAACACGCAGTCACACACCTTTCCTAACGATGTGTTGCCCTTCCTCGTCTCCTTTCCAAGCCAACGGGACCCGAGGGAGTTCATCATCAGATGACACAAGGGTACCTCCTAAGTCAGGCGTGTAAGTGTGCGGGGGCTGCCGGAACACAGGCCCGCAGGCGGGGGCTTACACACCAGAAATGCAGTCGCCCAGCTCTGCAGCCGGAGGTCTAGGATCAGAGTGTCGGAGGGCGGGTTTCACCCGAGGCCTCTCTCCTGGGTTGGAGGCGAAACCCTTTCCCGTTGTTGTCTTTTACATTCTTGGTCAAACTTCTTCCTGGGTATTTTTTTGTGCAATTGTACATGGGGTTGTTCTCTTAGTTTCCCTTTCTATTTTTTATTGATTTCAGAGAGGAAAGGAGAGGGACAGAGATAGAAACATCAATGATGAGAAAGGATCACTGATCAGCTGCCTCCTACTGGGGATCGAGTCCACAACCCGGGCATGTGACCAGACCGGGAATCAAACCGTGACCTCCTGGTTCACAGGTCAACGCTCAACCAGTGAGCCACACTAATTTCCCTTTCTGATAGTTCATTATCTATCTATCTATCTATCTATCTATCTATCTATCTATCTATCATCTATCTATCTATCTATCTATCTATCTATCTATCTATCGAGCGGAAACCACAGGCATGGAAACATGGAACAGACTGATGAATCTCAGAGGGAAGGAGAATGGGGGAGGGTGGGAAGAGATTAACCAAAGATCTTATATGCATACTAGAGGCCCGGTGCACGGATTCATGCTCTGGTGAGGTCCCTTGGCCTGGCCTGCGGGGATCAGGCTAAAACCGGCTCTCCAACATCCCCCCGAAGGGGTCCTGGATTACGAGAGCGCAGGCCAGGCCAAGGGACCCCACTGGTGCATGAATCCATGCACCAGGCCTCTAGTTGGTGTATAAAAATACAACAGAGTCTGGATATTTATTTTGTCTCCTGCTACTTTACTGAATTCATTGATGAGTTCTGATAGTGTTTTTGGTGGGATCTTTAGGGTTCTCTATATACTATATCACATCATCTGCAAACAGTGACAGTTTTACTTCTTCCTTTCCAATTGGGTTCCTTTTATTTTATTTTTCTGTGGTTTAAATGCCCCCTCCCCATCAGAGTAGGCATAAGGTCACTATACACTTTATGGGACTTCTATTTTGAGTTCCCCCTTCTTTCCATTTCTGAAGATCCAGAGACTAAGGACAAAGGGTGGAGCTGAGGAGCGGGTGAAGGTGGGCCCGTGGCACAGACCCTGTGATTGGAGCATCGCTGTCGCCCAGGAATCAGGTGGAGGGAGGCTATTCCTCTGGGCGAGGAAGCAGCATGAAGAGTGCCTCTGGGCTGCCGGGCGCACCTCCCTGTCTGATTAAGCGGCAGCTGACAGCTTGGAGGAGATACACGGAGTTTAGTGAGAGCCTAAACACGCCACCCCTCCTCACCCAGATGTGCACATGCTTCTGGGCGGATGGGAACATCACTTACCTTCACTGGGCGCTGGCAGGAAGGCTTTAAAAACAGGCCCGGGTGCGGCGAAGTGGCCTGGAAGGGGACGCCTCTGGCTATTCCTTGTGGACCGTCTCATGTGCCCCTTCCGTGTTCAGAACACCCTGGTCTTGTTTGGGGGGAAATCCCTGATGTTCCTGCTGCTGAGAATGGGCCAGAGCTCCTGTCTTTTCTCATTTTTTAGCAGAATTCCGTGAACTATTTGTATCTCCCCTCGGACTTCTCTCTTGCACCCCACGCATCCACCCAACAGCCATGTGACACCTCAACTTAGACGCGGAGCAGACCCCAAGCTCCATCTGCATCCTGCTCTTCCCCTAACCCTGCACAGCCCCAGCCTTCCGCATCTCATGTCGGCAAGTCCACTCCACCAGCACCTGCGCCAGACCAGGCTTTCTTCTCCTTTCACGACTGATGACCCCTAACAGGCTGTCCCCCTGCACAGCAATGGGACAGAAACGATCCTCAGCCACAGCCCCACGGCTCCTATCAAGGTGCCCTGCCCAGTCCTCCTGGGAGGGAAAGAGACAGCATCCATCCTTGTTTTCTACACATTTGGTCCCCCCGGCCCCCAACCCCGTTTTGGTGCTGAGGCAGCCTGTGCGCCAGGCCTGAGCGGGTCCCTGGGGAGCACAGGGCGGAGTGGCCTGAGAACAGTCAGAAACGCCTGGGAGGCGCCCAACAACTCCTGCTGCTGAGGCAGCCTGTGCGCCAGGCCTGAGCAAGCGGCTAGACAGGGCTGGGTGGGTCCCTGGGGAGCACAGGGCGGAGTGGCGTGAGAACAGTCAGAAACGCCTGGGAGGCGCCCGGCAACTCCAGGCGCTGGAGCCAAGGGGACGCGCTGGGCCCTCAGCGCCCTGCACGCTGCCTGGGAGTCGGAGCGGCCAAGGACAGGCTGGGGCCCTGTCACCCTGGTTAGGTCCTTAGGGTGGGCAGGATGCCAGGGCAGAGGCTGCCTGGGGTCTTGGAATGAGGAATCTGTAGAAACAATGTCACCTCAAGCTCACACACCATTTCCACCACCGCTGGCCGCAGCGCTGACAGGGCGGCCAGCTAGCCCTCCACACGAGCGCATCGACGCCTTTGAAACCACGTGTTCCATGCACAGACTCTCAGCAGCACAAATGCAGACCCTCTGGCGGCCTCAGAAACCAGCCGTCCAGTCCCCGCCAGGCACGTTCACTTAGAAATGACCACGTCTTCCACAGGAGCCCTTTCTCACTCGGACGGGGTTATCCGTCGGGACTCTTGGGGGCGGATGACACAAACGCAGCGACGCGGGCTTAAGCGACAAGGCGCGGAGTGGAGCGTGACTGGGAGGCTCGAGATCGTCCCTGAAATTCATCCCTGAAATCGCACGCCCGACGTTTACTGCCGGGCCCTGTCTCTGGGCGGGGCTCCGCGTCCTCCCGGTGGGCTGTCCTCCGCACAAGGACCAGCCCCGGGCCCTCCAGCTCCAAGACCGCATCGTGCCAGGTGGTCTCCCTGCAGAGAGGGTTTCTCCGCCGATATTTCCAGCAAGTATCCCCGCAAAGGGGGCCATGCTCGATCACCCCGTGCGGGTCCCACCCTCACTACCCTCCAGGCACTGGCACCCTCCAGCCCCACACGGGCCCTGCTGGAGGGGCTGGTGCTGCAAGATGAGACGTGGTGCCCGGGGAGTGCCACCTGCCCCAGGAGCACTGAGCCACAGTCTGCGGCGTCACCACAAGCTGCTGGCCATCTCAGGTAAGACAGACATTAACCACGGGACACAGACTCTATGGCCGCGGCCACACTGGGCTTGTCCTTACCCTTTTCTTCACTGACTTGTCACCAACATTAGGGCAGGGTACTCACATCCAACGCCACATTCCAACTCTGTCAGACCTTGCAGAAGTGAGCCGCATACCCAACCCAGTCTCACTCCGGCCTGTCTGCCCCAGGGGTGGGCCTGCTGAGTCCATCACCGACGGCACTGGGGCCTCTGACATCGGCACCCACTGGGAGACGCATCAACATTTCAGGGAGCCGAGCCCAGTCCTCTCCTGTCTGAGGAACAGGGCTGTTAACTCACCAGGCCGTAGCGTTGCCATGGACACCGTGAGCCCAGCGGAGGCCTCTGCAGGCTCGGTCCTGAGGGGACCAGCTCTTCCACGCTGCCTCACGCTGGCCGAGGAGGACTCTCCTCCCGCTCCTCCCGCTCCTCCAGAGCCGGTCCTCCGGTCCTGAAAGCACAAAAGGCACCTCAGGACCCCGCGCGGGCGGGCACGTCCACTCCCGCCACTTCCTTCACCGCCGGCTTCTCCCTCTGCAGCTCCCTCACGTCCACACCTACGTGAGCTTGTCGGGCGGTCCAGCTGCGGTCTTATAAGGCCCCTGTCTGTGCATCC